GCAGGTCATCAGCATCCCCAGAGGGTCAGGAGGTGTAGATGGCTGGATAGGGTGACAGGAGGGCTGCGAGCAGGCATCACCTGGTGATCAGATGTGGCTCCTCATTTGGGAGCTATTGGGCAAATTAGTTTATGAGAGCAGTATCAAATATGGATCCGTACAAAGCCTTTCCCTGTTACATGGTAACAGCCCCCATTGCTGCACACATGCTTCCCGGTACCCCTCGGAGAGGAGCAGGACAAAGAGAATCCCCATCAATGACCCATGAGGAAATCAAGAGTCAGAGATAGTAAGAGACTTCCTCCAGGATAGAGCCAAGACATGAGCTTGGTCTTCCAACCCCAAGATCCTTGCCTCGTAGCCTCTCGTGCTGTCTGTGAAACTCAGAAATATTAGAACTCCACACTGAACTGTTTGCTGTTCCCTTTGCTCGTCTTTCCTTAATTTTAAATGCGTAAAGAATCCAAAGGAAGAGAAAAATACTTTGATAAGGCAGGATATTTTTCTAGCTGTTAAGAGACAGGTTCTAATGGTTGTTCTCACTTCTTGCTCTCCAAGGAGTCTCAGAGTCTGGTTATATCCTCACCCTGCTGAAGCCCATTTAAATTCCCTCCAGACTAAGGAGTCATAGTAGCTTCTCACTCCCACCCTCATGGTGAAATGAATAAGCTCTTTTCAGGGTTCCCATTGATCCCATAAAAATGACTCTCATAGCTTGTCCTCAACAGGATAAAAGTGATTCCATATGGGGGTGGGGAAGCAGCCAGTTGATTTGGTGGAGGTGAGGAAGGTCAGGAACAGCCCAGAACTTTGAATATATTCACTGCTATACTGGGAGGCCATTGCTTCTCCAGGATTATATCACATAGGGGGAGAAATCGCTAACTGAGTCATGGGCATTGGTGCTGTCCAGTCTCTGGTGGGCGATCTCACTATATCACTTAGGGGATTGCTGTGGAAGGGGTCAGGAGGTAGGCTGGAGCAGAGCATGAAGGAGGGTGGTAACGGAAAGGAGCCAGGGTTAAGTTAGAAATAGAAAATCCCCTCCAGAGCTCTCTGCCCCATCCCACGTCTCCCATCCTACCATCCCCCCTCCCCAACGAGAACTTTGTTTTGGTAGGCCAAGTAAGATCAGTGGAAGAGAGACTGCCAAGCTGTCTGAAGAAAAGTGTTCTGGGAGTGAATTAAGAAGTGAGACAAAGGGAGCTACAGCTTTACAACACTTAGGTCGGTGAAGACACCCATCTCTTCCTAAAAAGTCAGTTAAATCCTGCAGGGGGTACATTTAGCCCTTCATAAAAACACAGTGAATGGAAAATGCATTAACAGAGAGATGGAGAGACAGGAACTGTGTGCTTCCTCCTCACAATTGCCTCTTGGACTCCCAAGTTTCCCTCAGTGCACAAATTAAGCACCATCTCTTGCATGAGACCTTCCCTGATCCCACCAACACCTAGCAATGTCGAGTACATAGTAGGCACTTAATAAATGCTCATTGATTGATGGACTCGCTAAGTTACTCCTTTTACTTTTTTTGAGAGGGTGATGCCAAAACTGCCTCTTCCCTTCAGTCTTTGTATCCCAGGCTATTTAAGGGGTTTGGTGGGGGTGGAGAATTCCAGGAGAAGCAAATCAACACAACATTTCCTGAGAAAATGGCAGTTTCATGCAAACCTGAGTAGGGTGTTTGTTTTCCGTGGAGGTCATTGCCCTCTTATTTTCAAAGTAAATGTTTGTGTGTGCACAGTCAATAGAAAGATTCCATGGAGAGGCCATATGCCTTACTTCTGTATCCTTAGATTTCTCTAATTCTAGGTTTCTGATTCATCAGGAGAGGCTCAACAGGGCAGCTGAAGGATTGCCATTCTAGGAGTCCTGAGTGGTAGGCCCTACTACCTTTGGGAATGTGAACAGTGAATTTTTACAACTTGAAGGATCTGCAGAGACCATATAATCTAACCCCTCACAATTTTTTATACACCTTATAAAGGTAAAGTGATCTGCCCAAAGTCAAAAGGTAGCAATGCTTTAACAAATCTCTGGACCTCAGTTTCCTCTTCTGTAAATTGAGGGATTTGAAGTAGATGCTTTCTAAGGCCTATTCCAAAGTAATAGTGCCTGTTAACACCTTTCTCTCCAAAGAGTTCTTGGGTCCTTTGAAAGTTTTTCAACTTTTACCCCCATTTTACAGATGAGAATACAGATAGGAACCTTAAAGCAAATGGACCTTTCTTCCTATTTTTATAGGCAAAGTGGCAAGGCCAAGGTTACACTCAGTGGTGTGTTGGAAAATACTGAACAACAGACTCTGTGGGGAAATAATGTACACACAGCATATTTTTAAGTTTAATATGCATTATTAAGATTTTCTCTATCACTTCCTTAAGTCTAGACAGTCAACAAAACAATAAGACCTGATCTGTTTCTCTCTCTCTCTCCTCTCTCTCTCTCTCTCTCTCTCTCTCTCTCTCTCTCTTTCTCCCTCTCTTCCTCCCTCCCTCTCTCTTCCTCTCTGTCTCTCTATCTCTCTCTGTCTCTAAGTATATCATCATATCATCTGAAAAGAGTGATAGTTTTGTTTTCTCATTGCCTATCCTAATTCCTTCAATTTCTTTTCCTTCTTTTATTGCTAAAGCTAACATTTCTAGTACAGTATTAACTAATAGTGATGATAATGGGCATCCTTGTTTTACCCCTGATCTTATTGGAAATGCTTGTAGCTTATCCCCATTATATATAATGCTTGCTGATGGTTTTAGGATTATCATTTTAAGGAAAACTCCATTTATCCCTGTGCTCTCTAGTGTTCTTAACAGGAATGGGTGTTGTATTTTGTCAAAAGCTTTTTTTGCATCTATTAAGATAATCATATGATTTCTGTTAGTTTTGTTATTGCTTTGCCAAATATGCTGATGGTTTTCCTGATATTGAACCAGCCCTGCATTCCTGGTATAAATTCCACCTGGTCATAGTGTATTTTCTTCATGATAAATTGCTATAATCTCTTTGCTAATATTTTATTTAAATTTTTTGCATCAGTATTCATTAGGGAAATTGGTCTATAATTTTCTTAATTCAAATTTTCTTAATTTCAGATTCTCTGTTTTGGGTCTTCATGGTCTAGGTATCAGCATGATGTTTGTGCCATAAAAGAAATTTGGTAGGACTCCTTCTTTGCCTCTTTTTCCAAACAGTTTATATAGTATTGCATTTAATTGTTCTTTAAATGTTTGGATAGAATTTACTTGTAAATCCATCTGTCCCTGGAGATTTTTCCTTAGGGAGTTCATTGAGTCTCCCTGTGTCTTTGTCTCTCTGTCTCTCTGTCTCTCTTCCTCCCTCCATTCCTTCCTCCTCCCTATCTCTGTCTTTCTCCCTCCCTCCCCCTCCCCAATTCTTACATGGAAACTAGGCAGAGATTAGAAATGGAAATGTGGAAAGAGATTACATTTTTCAGAGTGGGAAGCACAAGATGATTATTGACACACAGAAGAACTGAAGTCTGAGATATAGGTTTTGAAACAGAGGAGGAGATAGAGAATTAACCCTGAGCCTTAACTAGGTCTGCAGCCCCTTCTGTCACCCAAACTTTGAATCCTTTGATCTCTTTGAAAGCTGAAAGAGACCTCAAAAATCATGTAGTGTCCCTGACCTCTCCCCCCACCTTGCCTTTTACAGAGGAGACAACTGAGGTCCCTAAGAGGAGAAATGACTTACCTAAGATCACACAAAAGTGAGAAATACCAAATGTGGGACTAGAAACTAGGCCTCTTCCCCCACACCCCCACTGGTCCAAAGCTCTTCCAGCAGTATCAGGCCATCTTTGATCTGAGGCAGGATCCTAGAAGGGTAGTGGCTGCCAAGAGATGGGAAGTGGGGGATGGGTGGAGGAAATGCCAGGTCTGCCAGATGTGAGACTTCAAATTACTTTTAACATAGTGTTAAGGGAAGTTAGAGTTTCATGTTTCCCTAGGAGATATAAGAATTCCAAGATTGACTGATAATGTCACTATGTTTTATGGAAACTGGACCTAAGAACTATGAAGTTTCCAGAGGATAGAGAGCCAGATCCGCTCAGCAGGCATGCCCGGGATATTCAGTGTCAATTCAGAATTCCATGGTTTCCAGATATTGAGTCACAAACGAATCAGTTATTCTAGACAAGGATATTAGTAGGTTGGATGCTACAGTCTTCTCATTCCTGAGCTTAAGAAACATCTAGACTAGCCCTTTCAACAATGATGTAATATTAGCTGCTGAAAAGAATTCCCTATTAGGGACCAGCTCAAAATCTGTGCCATACAACAAATGGAAGGGTATAGGAATAAATGTTCTCCAGGAAAGTGGCCTTTCTTTGTAAGGCCAGTGCTAGGGGTACTGTTGAAGGTGAATAATGGATGGATGGATGGATGGATGGATGGATGGATGGATGGATGGATGGATGGATGATACAGCATTAAGCACTTACTGTGTGGTAAGCATTGTACTAAGTACTGAAGGTATAAATGCAAGCATGCAAAATAGTCCCTATCCTCAAGTTGCTTACATTCTAATGGAGGAAAATCCCACCAAAAGGGGAGCTTTTCCAGTGGAGTAGGACCTGCCCAAAGAAGCCTATGGTTCCCAAGAAGATAAGCTCACCTATCAGAGTCTAGTGACAAGCAGTAGCAGTGGGGATGGTGGCCTGAAGCAGCATGGTGAAGAGATCTTTGGGAAGGACAAGGATTTCCTGAACACTAACAGGGAAAGGCATGATGTGAACATGAAGCTGTGAATTGAACAGAGTACAGTGAGTGGGGTGGTGAGTAAAGAGGGGGTCTTATTAAGGACTTCCTACTGCTCTTGCTTGGCTTAGCTGGGGCAGGCTTCTTGGAAGAAATGGGAGATTGCAGGGGCTTTTGAAAAATCAGGAGAGGGAAGAAGCAGCATTCTGATTCCTAAACACTCAGATATTTAAATGGATCTGTGTTTCATCAGTTTGGAAATTCCCTCTCCAACAGTGCAGATCACAGACTCTCCAGGCCTACCCATTTTGTATGACTGTTATTCATGTCCTGCCATCAGTCCACCACAAGGGTCCTCCCCTTCTCCCAGCACTGAGAACAGAGCCAGGTAAGCATTCTGCCTGCCCATTGACCATCTCTCACTTTACCATCTCCTGTTCGTATCATATAATTTCTTGATGACACCTTTTACTCCTGTTCTTTAGAGTTCCTCATTGGTTACATGTTATAGTTTGCTTACACCTATCATGTACCTCTCCATTACCTTTTATGGAGACTTCATTTTAAGTTCTTTGGAAAGTTATATTTTGTGTCTGACTACTACATAACAACACCAGTAGAATTTTGGTATTGAAATGATGGGCCTTTGCTTTCTTGGAAAGACTGGGGTCATTTGCAGTTTCCTAAAGGCAATCTAGTCTGCTCTTCTGGTCCTTTTCCACTCTGGGCCCAATCTGTTGTCTAGCTATATACTGTATGTCCCAGATAGACATACTGATAACAAGTGCTGTATACATTTTCCATCCAGATGAATGTTAAAATCTGGGCAATAGACATTCTTTATCCACTTCTTTCATATGTAGATGATCAGGCCAAATTCCTGTAAGTGATTACAGATCTTTTCCAGTATGCTCTGTAGTCATCTGGGATTTGAGGCAATCAGTACAATATCATTGGCAAACAGTAGCATCTGAAAGGAAAGACCTCACCATGCACAGTGAATCTCTCATCAACCCAGATTCTGGTTCTCCTCCATCAATCACCATGGTGACTCCCTCTATCGTGTGCATTTCCTGATGTTTATGATCAGACAGTTATTTCAGTTGTTCTGTCTTTCAAGGAATCTTAAGTGATTTTGATGTATGGATGGAAATAGAGCCTGTAAGGCACCATTTTGCTCCCCTGGACCAATTGCTTTTTCATCATTATTAAACTTTAAGCATACCAGGACCTTCTGTTCTCCATATATTTCAGTTAATTGTGTTCCTAAGCTCCCTAAGTTCTTAAGTAGTTCATCGACACATATTCACTAAGAAGCTGTGAACTGCTTGGCATCACACCAGGAATTTCTGTGCAGAAGAGAATCAGAGCACTAAAAAACCGTTTGTGTTTCCCCTAGGCATCTTTGGCGCCATCATTCTCATGCTTTTGAGCAGTAGTGTGGCATCGTGGAAAAGGATTTTGAGACAGAAGACACTGGGGTTCAAATCCCAACTCTCCTACTTACCTCGTATGACTTGAGGCTAGTGGTTTTACCTCAGGGGTGCTCAGTTCCCTCATTTATAAAATGAAGGGAGTGTGATTGGATGAACTATGGGTCCTTCCCAGCTCTAAATCCTGTGATACTACAACTGCATACTCCCAGAAAAAAGAGACCATATATAAATCACCTGGTATGGTAGCGAAGTATGAAGTTCATAGTGTAATAAATAAAGGCATTTTGCTTATTGAAATATTTATCTGTTCTGAGAAGCCAGGTCATTTGCATTTGAATTATTTTGTTTCTCAATAGGAAATCTGTAAGGTGTTTTATTGGTTTTTTTTAAAGTCCTCCAAAGTGCTAAGTGGATTTACATTTAAGCTATTCCCTCCCTGTTCTCCCTTCCTATGTCCACCCTCAGAGGCTCTGAGGTAGGGACCAAGCATGGAAAGTGTCTACCTTTAAAGGAGCATTTTTTTTTCAGAAAATTTTATAAGGAACTCCAAATAAGCAGCTACATAATGGAAACCATTTTGCAACCTTCAGTACAGCCATTTATCTCAATAACCATCTCATTTAAAATGTGGGCCAAACATATAAATCATATCTTGAAAGAAAGTATGTTGGTGCCACAAAAATTATCTAGTATTCTTACCACCTAATTTAAAAAATGTGTTTTGAAGACTGGAAGAAGGAAAACAAGTCTGGAGTCTGGCCTCCCTCCTTCCACACATCCCTTTTCCTGCAATTTGTCCAGAAATAAATCTACATTCTTCATACCGAGAAGAGAATGAGAATCACTTAACATCCCATGCTCTTGGTAGCCATTCACATTCAAGTGCTGTTTTGAGACTTTGCCACTTCTTGGGTCATTCTGTAGTCAGAATCTAGAGCCCAGATATCCCATGTCGCCACTTACTGATGGCCAGAACGCCTTCGTGGTCTGGGGGTTAAGCCCCAAAGGCTCGGGCGATGACTTCTGAGAGTGAATGCTGCTCATGTTGCATCATCCCAGGAGAGGCAAGACTAAGGAGAGATGGGGTCTCGAGGCAGGCTAATCAAATGGGGTAGTGGAGACGCAGAGAACGAAGCAGGGAGGGGAAGATGGGAAAAGCATCCACACCTTGAAGTGGGAGTGTTGTCATGGTGAGAAACGATTCCCACTTTGGCTTTACTTGTCATTTGGAAGAATTCTGGGTTGTATCGGACCCCCCAGACTGAGACAGGACTACCATCCACTGTGTAACAAGACCACTGCCATGAGCCTACTAATGACTTGGCACTTAGATGGCGCAGCCACCATTGACAATGCGTGATATGTAGCACGGGTCTACGTCCGGCAGACATTTTAAGTCATCATGACCCTGGATAGAGAAAAACAAAAGTTGCCTGAAATGGTGGCTTGTCCTCAGATTACTTATACTCTAAGCTAAAAGCATGTGAAAGCCACATTACCCCACTTCTCATAGCATGGTGTTGTGGAAATCACAGGCAGCTTGGAATCAGAAGGCTTGGGTTTGAATCCCGGACCTGCCATTTATTCCTCATATGACCATAGACAAGTAACCTTTCTGTGCTCCAGCTTCCTTGCCTGTCAAGCGAGGGGGTTGTATTCAATGACCTCTAAAGTGCCGTCTACTTCTAAATCTATGATCCTGTGATTCCAACAATCCTGAAGCGAAATGGAGTCAGGGTGGTCCCAGAGCACCTTCGTTCCACCTCCGTATTGGGGTTCACAGTTCCATCCTCTCTACGTCCCTCTGTCAGAGACAGTGACCAAGTGGACAGCCTCCCTCCAGCCCTCTTGGGCTCTCATAATGGCTTTTGCTTTCAGAAATGGAGTTCCACGCATGGTGGGTGAAGTAAAGGACATTAAACTTGGTACTTGATACATTAGCCCATCCTTCTCTGGGTTTAGGCTGGGGGTGGGGAACAGTGTTGTCCGTCCGGAACTGCCCCTGCCTCCTTGGGTTTCCCCAGCCAGAGCCTCCCGATGCAAGCTTCAGAAGAGACATAAGTAGCTATGACAGTGCTTCTAAGTGTTGCTCTGCTGTTGCCATGCAATCCCAAGAGTCCAGAGAGAAGTCAGGGTGGCAGCTGGTGTTTGTCCTGAGTCCCCAAGGTCATCATTTCTTCTCTGTTATGCCTTTCATTGTCTGAACTGAGCTGCAAATTCGAGTACCCTAAAAGCATTATGAGGAGCATTATGACTTCCTTTTCTAGGGCAGGGACAGCCAGTCTCAAGTGGTGCTGCCATCAGACATTTTCTCTTTTCCTTTAGTTGGCTGTTTGTCATTCTTTGTGTAAGTCATCTGCTAGATTGCCAGCTGTTCTGGCCAGGACAATTTCTTTCTTGTAATACTCCACCATTGTTCCTGATCTCTAAGCTATATTGGGTATCACAGAGGCATTGCCCAATGATTCTGGGGTTTGCGTCTTTGGGAATTGGAATGATTCAAGTCTGATTAAAAACAAACTTTTTTTGTCACAAGATTGCAGAGCTGGAGCCTCAAAAAGCCATTTGGTCTAGTTTCTAGACTTCATAGAGGTGAATATCTAAGCCAGGAGTCAAAAACCATCCCAACGTTAGATGCCGTTGAGGCCAATGGCTCCTTCTTCATCTCATGTCACTTAGATGCCTTTTCTCACTCACTATGTCCTCCTTCACCCCTGTCTCACCCTAAGAAATTGCCTCACTCCTTACCAAGGCTAACCTTGGTTAGCAGTCCTGTTCCATTCCATCTCTTCCAACAGATTGTCTCCTCTGTCACCTCCATGCTATCACTTATCTTCAACTGATCCCTATCTACTGACTCATTCCCTACTGTGTACAAAACATGCCCGTGTCTCTCCCATCCTCAAAAAACACTCACTTGATCCTTCTGTCCCCACTAATTATTGTCCTGTATCTCTTCTCCCTTTTCTGGCAAAATCTTTGAAAAGGCCAACTCCAATAGGTGCCTCCACTTTTTCTCCTCTCACTATCTTCTTGACTCCTTACAATCTGGCTCCAATCTTAGCATTCCACTGAAACTGTTCTCTCCAGAGTTACCATTGATCTCTTAATTGCCCAATCCAGTGGCCTTATCTCAGTCCTCATTCTTCTTGATCTCTCTGCAGCCTTTGACACTGTTGATCACCCTCTTCTTGATACTTTCTTCTCTCTAGGTTTTTCAGGATTCCACTCTCTCCTTGTTCTCTTCCTACTGATCAGACCCCTCCTCCTTAGACTTCTTTGCTGGATCCCCATCTAGGTCATGCCCACTATCATGGGTGTCCTGTAGGACTCTATCTTGGCTTCCTTCTCTTCTCCCTTTATACTACTTTACTTGGGGATTTCATCAGCTCCTATGGATTTAGTTATCAACTCCATGCTGATATTCTCAAATCTACGTATCCTGCCCTAACATCTGTTTTCCTCCAATCTTACCTCTCCACCTGCCCTTCTGACATCTTGAACTGCATGTCCAGTAGACAGCTTACACTCAACATGTCCACAACAGAACTCATTATCTTTCCCCTAAATCCTCTCTTCATCTTAAATTCCCTATTACTGTCTAGGGCAACACCATTCTCCCATCTCCCAGGCTGGCAGCCTAGGTGTCATCCTCAACTTCTCGTCCTCTCTCACCCCTGTATCCAAGCTATTGCCAAGACCTGTTGCTATCACCTTCCAAATACATCTTCCTTCTTTCCTCTGACACTGCCCCCACCATGATACGTATAGGCCTTCATCACCTGATGTTTGAATGATTTCAATAGCCAGCCAGTGGGTCTGCCTGCCTCAAGTCTCTCCCCACTCCAGTCCATCCTCCATTCAGCCACCAAAGTGATTTTCATAAAGCTTAGGTACTATTATGTCAGCCTTCCCCATGCAGTAAACTCCAGCAGCTCCCTGTTGCCTCCAG